AGCGAATGCTGTAACTCTTTGATATACAGCAAGTAAATGTCAGCGGATTCCAACTCGCTATAGAAGACGCCAAAACTACATGTGGCCCTTCATTTAAAGCATATCAATATTAATGGTATATTTATCTCCTTATCAAGATACCTGCATCTTTAGTGTACACCAAAATGTTGTAAATCATATGAAACTACGTTTTGTAAACCTTATTTATCATCTAACATCAAAAACAATAGAATTTTTTTGCACACGTTCCAATATTCATATTTTATTTCTTGACCAAAATGAATAAATGAATGAATGACATGCAGGTCATGCATACTACAAGATGTTTTGATATTTTAGAAATGACACATTTGTGATATTCATGTGTTATTTGTCTTTGTATTAGATTGCTAGGGACTACAATCCAAACTGGATGTCAGCAGTGGAAATATTGGATGACGATAATTTCCTTGGCTCCGAAAATTCATTCAATTTATTCACTTGCCAGAAAGATAGGTAAGAGGAATGGAGAAAAACTGTTCAACCAAGCACAGAAAAGCATGATCATTTCTTGTACATATACTGACTGTGTAAAAACACTTGTTCATGTACACATACCTAGGATGCTACACGGTCAGTTACATAATGACTGTATGGATACTGTGTGCGTGCACACTCTATTGTTTGTTGTGTCTGCGTCATTTGTGGTTGATGTCTTGCACAGTAATTTCTGTAAAGCACATAAAATAAATAAGACTTGGTAGTATAAAACAAAAACAGTTTTGATAAGTATTATGCTTGTCTCCAGACTTGCATCGTACATGCAACTGACACTGTTCTCTGTTGTAAGGAGACACAATTCATTATTTCATGGTAGATCACCCTACTTTCTTCTCCAGAGATATTTTGATTTATTTATATTGACCGTAATTCTGTCATTCAAAGTAGTAAAACGATCAGCCTCGTTTCTCTATTGAATTATTAATATTTATAGTGCTGCAACAACTGATGAAGAAAGACAGCATCTTCAAGAAGTAGGGTTGTTCCACGTCGGTGAGTTTATCAATGTGTTCCGACATGGCTCATTAGTAATGCAACATCCTGGTGAAAGTTCCACTCCAACGCAAGGATCTGTACTTTACGGTACAGTCAATGGATCTATTGGTAAGTATCATAGTTTGATATGGATATATAATGCTTGTTGACACAAAAACTTGACTGCATGATCCCATTCACTACGTTCAATTACCCACCATAGACTCATCAGTCCAAAATTACTATATTGAACTATAGGCATTAATCTGCTATTCAGCCAATGACGGACAGAGAAATCTAGGTCGGGGGAAGCCCCATGACCTCAAGATTTTCCTTCATGTCAGGACCAACATAATGTTGTTAATAAAATACATGCTAAAATGCAGTATATGGAATTTAAATATAAAATCCAAATGAGGATGGCTAATATACTTATTGTTTTATGGTTTCAAAGGTGTACATCAGGAGGCCTAATCCACTTGTAATTTTTATAGAGCTAGTCATCAGTGAATCTTGTGTTAGAATTATGTGAGGGAATGCACATTGATAGCAAGTTCATACAGTATGTAGGAAATCCTACCTAAATTCAACTAGGCATGTTGAATTAATTTCAGTGACTTGCCTGTAATGTTGATTTAGTGTGTTTATTTTCGTCTTATTTGCAGGTCTGGTTACTCAGTTTTCTGAGGAATTGTTCAGTTTTCTGCTCGAAGTACAAAATAAACTTACCAAAGTCATAAAGAGTGTGGGAAAGATAGACCATGCATTATATCCTTTTAAGTAATTATTGTGAATTGTTGTGTGTGCTAAGTTTATCACATCTACATCAGTATTCTGCTGTGGCTCTTATTTCTAAAGCTTTAATCATATGTGTAATAACAAAACTTAACGTCTGATAATTTGTCAAAGTGGTTCAAATTCAGCCTGGTGTTTCACACCTTTTTGTGTCAGAATGTCTTTATTAATGTATGTCAATGATGTTGCACTGTTGTGGCTGCTATTCTCGGGAGCGAATATTTGGGTTTTCACCCCCTGCAACCAAACTCTCAAAGTACTGTTGTTCAAGCTACTTTTTAAGACTCTCCTAAACAGTGTAACAAGATTACCACTACATGTGCAACATATATAAATTTGGTTGTTCGGGATTCTCTCATAGTTTTGAATTTGTGTTGTTTTCTCGACTTCAGCTGTTTTCACTGACTCTTTGACCGGCTTTCCGCAGCAGTTTTGCTCACATCCCATGGAAATACATGTACAGTGGTGCACATCTTAGCACAACATTGTATGACGTACAATTACCTCATTTGTGTACGGAGGTTTGTATGGTGCCTTTCATTTTGAGTACGAGTCGATGACATGGTTATTAATGCACATGTATGTCATCTTTAGATTTAGTACAAAGTTCGTAATACCTGTTAGCAGTGGCTCATTAGACTCTGAGCTAAACTTATCCCAATTGACACTGACAATCTGTCCATACATGTTATTTAACATGTCAAAAGTCAGTCCCTGGATTTTGGTACACTTATGACCACCAAATACATTGATGGATATTTATTTACATTGAAATGTATGAAATTATTTTCCTTAACTTTGTTTCACTTGGAGATCGTTTCATACAGAGAGAAAGACTGAACCTACAACTGGCTTTATAGATGGAGACCTTATCGAGAGTTTTCTAGATCTTAACAGAGATAAAATGGGTGAAGTCATACAAGGATTGCAGGTAAAGTTGCAGTTTGTGTAGATTAGATTGTACCTATTGGATGTTTGTTGACTCTGTTTAACCCTTTGAGCACCACCATTTTTCTATCCAGATTTTGTTCAAAATATTTGCCTGTTTTTATGTATGCCTTTTCGACTTCTCGAAACTACAAGCCCAATTGCTCTCAGATTTGTTCATTTCATGATATCTTCAATTTTCTAATTAAAATGTGCATTGCTAACAGCGGAGCTATCTCAGCCGAGATTAATAATTTTGGACCATCTGTTGTACTTGTACATATAGGCACTACAGGTGAACCTCTCTCAGATTTGTTCATTTCATGATGATATCTTCAATTTTCTAATTAAAATGTTCACTGCTAACAGCAGAGCTATCTCAGCCGAGAGGCTGCTTGTTCAATATTTTTTGGATCAACTGCACATAATTTACCATTGATGGTTGTGATCCAATTTTTGGTAAAATTGTTGTAAATGGTGACAAATATTGACTTTGATGCTCGAAGGGTTAAACACCTCTAATTGATATGGTTGCTGAACACAAAATGTAACTCTGTTCTACAATCAAACTTTAGATTAAATTGTTCTGCTCTGTAATTTTCAAATTTTATCTATCATGCAGATTGATGATGGTGGAATGAAAAGAGATGCTACTGTAGATGACTTAGTTAAAATGGTTGAAGAACTGACTCGTATTCACTAATGATCAAACCATACAGTACAAATTTGGAAATTGGAGAACATAGACTTTAAGTTTCACCCTGTTGATTATATTCCCATCAACAGAGATTTGGGCATTGTTGTCGCTTTGTTCTCATCTTTCTGTGCCTAAAGCAGCTGATCCATAAACCAGTGACAGCAATCTGAAATACTTTTCTGAGAAGCATATTTTTTGGTAGTGTGTGTCATTGATACCAAGCACTCATGATTACACTGTACATATAAAAACAATTTGCACTACTTTTCTTTAAAAATGTGAATAGTTGGTTTTATCGTCTCAATGTAATTTCTTTTCAATATTTTTGTCTTTTAATAAAAATGCTTGGTGTGTGCTTTAATCAGTACTTGCATGGGTCCCAAATGTTTAATTTCTGAGTCTAAAATGCTAATTGTTATTATTTGGAGATATGGTGGGAAGTAGTATATACTGTTAGTGATTTAGAGGTCTTCCCGATACCTCTATACATATAATGCATCGTCAGGTGTAAATTTGTATGATTACTGCAGTTGTTTTTGGAAGTAAAGCAGTCTCAATAGACAAGTTTTGAGTTCCTCAGTTACCATAGGCTTGATTTCGACACTTAAACGTTCAATAGCTCACCAGGAACTTGTGAACAAATTAGAAATCAACCCCACATTATCGCACAAAAACAGACTGATGATGCTATAACTCGAAACTTGTCTATTATCTTGAGACATTACCTTACACTGGTAAATGAGTTTAGGTACATTTGTATGGTGTATGAGCTATAATTGTAGCGACCACTGTAACGTAACAGGTCTCTGGGGGAAGGGTGCTTAGATTCTCGGGTAAGTAGCACACCATCAGTAATTTGAACCATCTCAGTCAAAACATGTATTGATTTTATCAGCACCAGTATCAAGTTGATATATAATCCTCTACAACAAACTGTTTCTAAGAATAAAAATGTCCATATTCATGAACAGCCTTTTGTGAGTGAAAGGGGTGAAGTGAGTGATGCAATGGTTTTTAATACTTTGTATTGGGTGGTTGGGTACACGAAAGAATAACTGAAAATAATACAAGGTTTGGTTTTGATTATTTTAAATCACCAAAAAATGGAGTTATTTTGTATTCGTACTCGTACTAAAAATAGCATTGGCTCAAAATTTTTTTGTCATACCAGTTAAAACAATTGATTGGCATGAATGCTTAAAGATGTTACTTATTTTAGTAATACTACTTTTTGGCTTGCTTCTATTGTTTAACAGTTGATACCAGACGGTTTTCGTTCAGCATTTGCAAGTAAAGTACTTCTTTGTTATCAACAATACGTAACCAGTTTAATCATTCAGAGAAAACTTTGTTTCTGAAGTCTTATTGATCACTAATTAAAGAAAGATATTAATTTGATTAGGCCCCTTTTAAATAGATGCATCTTGTGAACAAATATTACGATGATATTCATATACCTGATATTACATGGAATGCAACACTGCTCTATGGCAACGGAGGTGGGTCACAATATGGCATTTTTTAAAAGCATGTTTACAATTCCCTTTTATTTTGTAATCCTTTTTAAAACTAATTTTGTTTTAAAAATCCATTTTCGTTACCCTTTGAACTATATCTATTTTCCCACATCAAAATTTACTGAAAAATCAGTTTCCCCACCTGTCGCATTAAATTAAACAATTATTTTTAATGAGATTCTCATTTCAACTTGACTCTTGATAGTTTTTTTTATTTTCACAAGTGACATTTCCATGGTAAGTCTTCTTTATGCAAGTCATTCTTCAGACTAACTTATTTAGCCCCGATTCCATTGGGTCCATAAAAGGGTTTTTGGCTTCATTGGTCTGCTTGCACTGTGGTGTCGAATGCATTTGTGGTTCGGCTTGTACACCGACGACACCCTATCTGGTACCAAAACATAGCAAAACTACTGCTATAACTAATTCTAATCAACCTTGGAGCTCTCATTTTATCAGCTGTAAATTTGATAATCAGATTAGAA